AATTTGAATGGTTTACGGACGGACAACTGGAAAAATTTTTCCTGTTGGAAGGAAAATTTTTTCCTGTCGGAAGGAAAATTTTTTCCTGTTGGAAGGAAAATTTTTTCCTGTCGGAAGGAAGAGTTCTTCCTGTCGGAAGGAAAATTTTTCCTGTCGGAAGGAAGAACTTGGAATGCCAGAAGGAAATTTTTTTCCTGTCGGAAGGAAGGACTCGGAATGCCAGAAGGATTTGACAAGGCAATTTACCTTATAGAGACCTGAGCCATCTGAAGTCAAGACCAAAAATAAACGCTTTACATGTATTTTTCAGCAACTTCGTCAAATAATTTTATAGCTTTATCTATCTCATCTACTTCAAACGTTTCTTTACCTTTCGTGGGAGCACCATACATTTTCTCAAACTTTTCAAGTAGTTCTGTTTCAGCAGCTCTCATATCGTTAACGAACACAACCTTGACTCTATTGACTGTACTGTCATATCTTTGAGTTATATTATATTCTTCCTATCTTATATCTCTTTGTATTGAAGTCCTTCGGTTTCTGAACGATGTAAAGTAAGCCTTCACTGCAACGTTCCGTATCGAATGAACCATATGTTATGAAGTTATATCCAACAACTGGGTCTAACCATAACAAAACTATTGGTATAAGATTTTGTCTATAGATATGCTTAGTTCCATAGAATCTTACCGATATCATAAGCTCAGGATTTCTTGTCAAAATTTTCTGAGTTGAAGCAATTCCAACCCAATGCCATTTCTTTTCCAGATGTGTTAGAATGTCTGACAAAGAATATTTTTTGTATTTCTTTGAGTATCTTACGTTTAAATCACCAATTCTAACCATTTTGGTGTCATTGTCTATCTTTTTAACTGTTTCAAACTCAACCTTTGACATTTTCTGTTTCTTACATACAAGATAAAAAAATATTTTATAAAAAACTAACTTTATTTTTTTTATTTTGTATAAAAGATATGATTTCAGGGATTTTTTTGACGAAGTGCAAAAGTTCTCTTCGTAAAAAAATAACAGTTATATAATGAAATTTGGTCATTTTTTCACGATTTTCATGAGTTTTAGGCGACCCCGAAAAAAGTCTGGGTCGCAATTTTTTACGATTTTCATGAGTTTTAGGCGAGTAAGATTTTCTATCTTGTATAAAAGATATGATTTCAGGGATTTTTTTTACGAAGTGCAAAAGTTCACTTCGTAAAAAAATAACAGTTATATAATGAAATTTGGTCATTTTTTCACGATTTTCATGAGTTTTAGGCGACCAGGTTTTCTATCTTGTATAAAAGATATGATTTCAGGGATTTTTTTGACGAAGTGTCAAAGTTCTCTTCGTCAAAAAATAACAGTTATATAATGAAATTTGGTCATTTTTTCACTGTTTTCATGTGTTTTATGCAAGACCGAAAAAAGTCGGTCTAGAGAAATTTCACTCAAAAATTCTTGTGTGCTTTGGTTTTTGAACCAGTCGTCTGCGTGTTTGGTTTCTGGAGCAAAACATACTGTCAAAATACTTTGCATTTGGTACATATCGTCTTTGACCGAACGAATGAGACGGAGTTGTTTGTTAAACTGAACCCACTCGTATTCTTCATGAATTTTGTATAAAAGATATGATTTCAGGGATTTTTTTTACGAAGTGCAAAAGTTCTCTTCGTCAAAAAATAACAGTTATATAATGAAATTTGGTCATTTTACTCAGCAAAAATATATTTTAGGTGAAGAGGTGAGATCTCACCTGTTTTCTCACCTCTTTTCTCACCTCTTGAATTTTGTATAAAAGATATGATTTCAGGGATTTTTTTGACGAAGTGCAAAAGTTCTCTTCGTAAAAAATAACAGTTATATAATGAAATTTGGTCATTTTTTCACGATTTTCATGAGTTTTAGGCGAGTAAGATTTTCTATCTTGTATAAAAGATATGATTTCAGGGATTTTTTTACGAAGTGCAAAAGTTCTCTTCGTAAAAAATAACAGTTATATAATGAAATTTGGTCATTTTACTCAGCAAAAATATATTTTAGGGTAGATGGTTAGATCTAACCTGTTTTCTAACCTGTTTGCGACCCTCGTGAATTTTCATGATTTCATCGTACATGTTTTGTCAAGACTTCTTCGTACATGTTTTGTCAAAACTTCTTCGTAATGAGCGTAAATCAGACAAAAATATATTTTAGGGTAGAAGGTTAGATCTAACCTGTTTTCTAACCTCTTTTCTCACCTCATGAATTTTCATGATTTCATCGTATATGTTTTGTCAAGACTTCTTCGTATATGTTTTGTCAAGACTTCTTCGTACATGTTTTGTCAAGACTTCTTCGTATATGTTTTGTCAAGACTTCTTCGTAATGAGCGTAAATCAGACAAAAATATATTTTAGGTGAAGAGGTGAGATCTCACCTCTTTTCTCACCTCTTGAATTTTGTATAAAAGATATGATTTCAGGGATTTTTTTTACGAAGTGCAAAAGTTCTCTTCGTAAAAAATAACACAAAAATAGTGTATTTTAAACGAAGTGCAAAAGTTCTCTTCGTAAAAAATAACACAAAAATAGTGTATTTTAAACGAAGTGCAAAAGTTCTCTTCGTCAAAAATAACACAAAAATAGTGTATTTTAAACGAAGTGCAAAAGTTCTCTTCGTAAAAAATAACAGTTATATAATGAAATTTGGTCATTTTTTTCAGCAAAAATATATTTTAGGGTAGATGGTTAGATCTCACCTGTTTTTTCACCTCTTTTTTCACCTCATATGTCCTTACTGAAAAAGTATGTGTTCCATATGCCATTTTACTCGGCAAAAATATATTTTAGGTGAAAAGGTGAGATCTCACCTCTTTTCTCACCTCTTGAATTTTGTATAAAAGATATGATTTCAGGGATTTTTTTGACGAAGTGTCAAAGTTCTCTTCGTAAAAAAATAACAGTTATATAATGAAATTTGGTCATTTTACTCAGCAAAAATATATTTTAGGTGAAGAGGTGAGATCTCACCTCTTTTCTCACCTGTTTTCTCACCTCTTTTTTTTATAAGCGTTTTACATGAATTGTACGATGTATATTTGAAATTCTAAACAATTTTGTGGCTTCTATTTCTTCTGTCAGTATGTCAAAAGTTTTCACAATGCCGAAAGTTTCTTTATACTTCTTCTTGACATCTGAAAGAAGGAAATCGTCAGCAGTTGGATAGTTTTTGTTTAGAAATTCTAACATGTCCATTTTATTTTCTGCTGGTTTCTCTGCTTCTTTCTTTAAGTCAGCATAGTCGTTTCGCATACGTTCTATCTCTTTGACGGAGTAGTTATATTTCCTCATTGCTGCTTTACATTTAGAACATTGTGGGTTCATTTTAGCATTGTACATTGAAATTTGTCCTGCAAGTACAACTATAGCGTCAATGGTTTTCTTAACTCAAAAGTTGCGGGTTTTATTTGTTCATTCCATATTTTACATCTTTTATCTTTATCTCTTATCTGCCATACACATTCAGCAACTAACGAAACAAAGTTGTCGTAGGTCTTAAACTCCTCCGATTTATATATGTCAGAAACATTCTTATATAACATGTCGCAATCTTTGTCCATGACTTTGTGGTTGCAATGAAATCCAAGAAACTCATAGTTAACCTTACGTATGAACTTCTTTATTTCAACTGAGTCGGTTGTTTTTACTTCTATTTCATCGAATTCAGGAATAGTAAGCTTTTGTTGTTGGATTTCAGGAAGTTTAGGTAGATGGTCAATAATATCCTGCATTTCATAAAGATATTCTTCATTTGTTTCATCTTTCGCACTACAGTCTAAATTACTTGTTAAAAGTTCCTGCTTTATTCTTTGTATTTCTGTTTCGAAAGTATATGAAGAAGGAATGAAGCTTTTCATCTCTACTAACATTGAAGTTGGGTTCATGACTAACGAGTTTGGTGCTGTTGTTGCTAACATGTTCTTACAATAAAAATAAAAAATATTTTTTTAAAAAAACTAACTTTATTTTTTATTTCGGGAAAATTCAAGAGTTTTGTGTGTTTTCTACGATGGTAGAAAAGAGGTGAGAAAAGAGGTGAGAAAACAGGTGAGATCTCACCTCTTCACCTAAAATATATTTTTTGGTCCGGGAACAACAAAATTCAAGAGTTTTGTGTGTTTTCTACGATGGTAGAAAAGAGGTGAGAAAAGAGGTGAGAAAACAGGTGAGATCTCACCTCTTCACCTAAAATATATTTTTTGGTCCGGGAACAACAAAACTCAAGAATTTTGGTTGAAAGAATACGATGGAGCCAAAAGTGGCTCGACCTCAAAACAAGCATTTTGTGAAGAATATAGCAACCGCCGGAATTTCGACGGTTGCTTTTTTATACAAAATTCAACGGGTGAGAAAACAGGTGAGAAAAGAGGTGAGATCTCACCACTTCACCTAAAATATATTTTTGTCTGATTTACGCTCATTACGATGAAATCATGACAAAACATATACGTTCATGTTTGACAAAACATTTACGATGAAACCATGACAAAACATATACGAAGAAGTTTATTTCCTGTGTTGTTGTCAAAATGTCATGTTGTCTCATTTTTTCAGAGAAGTTCGTTTAACCGAGGGACCTGGTGACACCTAAAAACCATCTACCCTAAAATATATTTTTGCCGAATTCAGCAACAAAATTCAACGGGTGAGAAAAGAGGTGAGAAAAGAGGTGAGATCTCACCTCTTCACCTAAAAGTATTTTTGTGCTATGTTTTCAGCACAAAATTCATGAAAATTCAACGGGTGAGAAAACAGGTGAGAAAAGAGGTGAGATCTCACCACTTCACCTAAAAGTATTTTTTATTTCGGGAAAATTCATGAAAATTCAACGGGTGAGAAAACAGGTGAGAAAAGAGGTGAGATCTCACCACTTCACCTAAATATATTTTTTATTTCGGGAAAATTCATGAAAATTCAACGGGTGAGAAAACAGGTGAGAAAAGAGGTGAGATCTCACCACTTCACCTAAATATATTTTTTATTTCTGAGATTGTGTCCTTTCTTATTTCCGTCTTGTATGGCAGCAAGTACTCCCATGAAGCCTTCTTTGTTCTTTCCTTCGTCAAAGTTTACTGTAAAGGTTCGACCAGATGTAATTTGACTTCTAACTTCACGATACTTTTCATATGCATATCTTGTTCTTTCCATGGGAGCATGTGCGTCTTCACCTTTTCCTTTTTTCCTTCTCAAAGGATGCAATTGTTCGTCATGTTTCCAGTAGAATCTGGCAAAGCCGTCGTGTCCTTCAACTTGAGGTTCACTAACATCGAAAGGCATGTCCATAAGACGTTCTTCTTCTAACCTCTCTAGTCTGTTTGGATAATTGGCACGTGCTGTTTCCAAATCCATTTCGTAGCGAAGACCAGACAATTTGTCATAGACTTTTATGGGTCTTCCCTTCCTATATTTAAAATTCTTCGAAACTCTCCAACCATATCTTTGCAACTCTGCTTTTATTCTAGCAGATTTTCTATCCATTCTATATGGGGGCATTTTTATAAAAATAAAAAAATATTTTTTTTCTTTACTTTACATAACCGCCTGCTGCCATAAGTCTTTGACGCCAACCCATACCAGCTAATGAAGGTTGACTTGGTTTAGTTCCAAACTAAAACTTTGGTTTTGGTTTATCTTCAGTTTTTGGTTTTCTTCTTCTATCGGTTTTTCGTCACTTTTCGGTTCCTTTGACTTTACCATCCCTGCAGGAACAGTTGTGTCGTCAACATCTTCATAAATATCATATGCCATTTGTTTTTTTTTCCTTTCAACTTTTTGTGTTTGTTGTAAAGTTAGAATATTTCGACTCTAAGTCAATGAGATGTTCTATAATGAACTGTTGGTCAGTGAAGTAAACTTTTCCATCTGTTGTCTCGAAAGCTCCTTCAGACTTCAATTATTATTTGTGAGAGTCTGTTTCTTTTTTGAGATACTTGCCGTTCCATTTTTATGAAAAGTGACTTTGTAGTATTAGGGTTTGTATTTCCAGACCTGGCACTTTCTATTATTGAATTTTCTCTTCATCTGTAAGTTCTTTGACAGGTTTTGACAATGGTTCTGAACTTTTTGTTTGTGTGTCAAATCTACCGTTTCAACTTCTTCGGTCATTTCATCTCAGTAAAAAAAATTTAGTTTGGTTTGTTTTCAACTGGTTGTTTAGGTTTTTTAAGTCGGTCTAAAACTTCCTGAGGTATAGGAAGAACTTGACAAACACGTTGTGTAACTGCTGGAAGCCGACAAATCCATCTTGAACCCATTTGTCTCAATGCTGCATTGTTCATTTCATCTCAATAAAAAACTTTACATTTCCCACGTTTGAGGCGGTTGAGGTTGGTTATTGTTTACCCACTGTTGTGCATGGTTATATCCTCTGTTAAAGAATCTTTCACCTTGGTCCATATAGTGTCCTGCTTGGTTATAGTAGTCATTTGCTTTGTTATAATAGTTTCCTGCTTGTCTTCCTACATTGTCCATCCATCCTTGAACTTTTCCTCTTGTTTCAGGATTTGGAATAAGATTTGTTGCATCTCGTGCTACATCCCAACCTTTCTGTACAGTTTGTATAATAGGTTGTGCTTTCTCTTTAAGTATACCTAATGTACTCAAAATCTTCCTTCCAACTCCAAATACACCTCTGGCTATTGTTCCACTGCGGGCAAAAATCTGGATGCAACTCCTGCTAATGCGCCAAATAAACCCATTTCTTATGGGTTAAAAAATGACGAATCCAAACAAGGACCCCTATGTTTCTAAGGCAACAAAAAAAGCACTCATGATAAAAATCTTTAGTTCAACACCAAATGCTTGGTTTATGGATATCTTGGAAAACATTCCGAAGTTAGAACAGATGGACCACCATACTGGCTAATAATTTGTCGGTCAAAACACAAGATACTGTGAAGCCATACCATTACAGTCCAAAAATATTTTAGATATCTTAGCAGCTTTGACAATATTCGTTGACAAATACCATCCAACAAAACTGACATCTGACTGTGAAAGTTCTTTCAAATCAGACGATATTAAAAACTATCTGCGTTCAAAAAATGTAAACCAATATTTCATTGTCGACCAAAACCATTCTGCTCTTGGTGTCATTGACGGTTGTATAAAATGTTAAGAGACTTAAAACCAACCACAAGGTGGTGAAGCAAATGAAATGTCAATGACGACAAATATAGACACTTCTCCATGGCAAAGATGAGACAAGTTTTAAATATTTACAATAGCCGTAAACAAAAAGGTTTGGGAAACCACTCCCCCGAAGAAATGAAAAACAACCCTGACCTTAGAGAAAGACTATATATTTAATAATTAGTCAAAAGAGACAAACAAGAAAGAATGCCGGGCTTTCAAACTTCAGAAAGGTGACAAAGTAAAAATAGAAATACCTAAACGCGACCCATATGAAAATACTATTGACTATGACAACAATGGGAACTCGACAGGTACTCACATTCGTGTTCGTAAAAATAGAAGAAAGTATACAAGAGAATATTATGAAGTTTTAGGCAAACATGGCAAAATGTACACACTGCAAGCAGAAGATAAAAACTACTATTGTCAGACCTCGTTTCAAACTTGTCAAAGTTCAAGGTGGTATACTTTCAAGACAGTTCCTAACAAATATAAGACAACTCCTGACGAATATGCTAAAGAAGTGGAACATGACGACTAAGCATTTCTATACCATGCGTAAACTGTCATGTAAGGTGGCATGCATTCTTTATTTGTCCCGTTGTTTGCGTATACCCTGAAACGCGATGTGTATGGTTTCCTCCTCCCTCAGTGTTTACTCCAGTAACAATTTATAGCAAACTTAACGTTGTTTTAATATCATATCCTTTACCTTTTGTCATTGCTGACCAATTCCAATATCTATGACTATGCCAACCTGCTTGAGATGTACTTAAATCTATGTAGTGACTGTGCGCAGGTAAGTTTTCACCTGAAATCGTTTTACTTCCACCTGTTTCCTTTGAAGAGTTTTGCACAATACAAAAACCTGTCGACTATTTGAGTCCAAGTTCCAAAACCCAGTACTACTTCTGGTCTGGTAGAGTTCATTGACGTATAAATAGAGCCTATAGGATATAATGTTTGAAGTATTTCTGTCTTTAATGTTTGAAGCTCTGTTTTGTCTGCTTTCTTGTCATATAAATCTTGAGCAGTGAATTTAACGTTATTTTCATCCTTCATGACATAAACATCTTTACATCTAATGTTTTTCATCGTCGTTATGTCGTCATCCGATGTTAAACCTTGTGGAAAGTTAGGAGGTTTCCAATATAATACATCCCCATCAGGTTCTTCAACCGTTCCTTCAATATTTTCTATAGCAACAGTTGTAAAACTTGTATGTGTATGGTTCTTATCTGCTTTCTTCTCTAACTCATCGTTAACATAAGTTTTATCTGCTTTAAGGTCTAAACATCCTGAAACCCATCCCGTATCGGCTTTACTTTTTAAAATCTTCGATGTCCATTCATGGTACCAGTCAACCCTTTCTTTCATTTCGTTATCTTTTTCATCCACATATTCCTTATCCGCTTTCTTCTCTAACTTACTAGCCACATATTCCTTATCCGCTTTCTTTTCAAGGCTAACGTTTAAGTCTGTTATTTCAGATATAGAATGTATATGAGTCTTTTTAGAATATTCGTTTTCAGCTCTTGTCACTTCACTTGACATTTTATTGTCAACATATGTTTTGTCTGCTAGTTCAGGATGAGTATGTTCTTTTGTTGCATAAGCTTTGTTAGCTCTTTCTTCTTCTTTTGCTATTGCATCGTCTACATATTCTTTGTCAGCTTTGTTGCCAACATCTGCTTTCAAAAGAAGTTCATTTATAGGTTTCTCGTTTAAAGTTCCTTTTGTTGGATTTATACAGACAGTATGGTTCTTATTGTCTTGAAATAGAAACTCATCTGTCATTGGGTTTAATGTCAGTTTTAAGTCACCCCCTTTCAATGACTCAGATATCTTAGAATAGTTTGAAAAGTTTGTTGTGTTCTTATTTAGAGCTTGTATAATGAGTTGTCGGTTGTGTTGTATTTCTCTCATAGACGCTGTTTCATTTGACATTTTTATTCTAGATAAAATATGCTTTCAATAGAAAAAGAAAATTCTAGAGTTGCTACAACTAAACCATTAGATGAACTTTTTACTAATGTCGGTCAAAAGTTTGAGACAGAGACCGTAAAGCATGAAGGCTATCGTTTTGACTACCGTTAAGATGGTTAAGAGACCCATCCGTCACAAAAGCTATTGGCTTTCGTAGAATGAAGTTCATTTCAGAAGCCATACATGGTTTCCCATTTACAGTCGGTTTTGAAGTTCGATACTATAACAAAGAAAAACGTATGTATGAGAAATTTAACGGAAAACTTTTACAAGTGAATTTGCTTGTAAACTTAGAAACAACTCTTCAAGCTTTTCAAGAAAAAATAAACGACATCTATATCGAATATGCAAACCAGTATAACATTGACGAGGGAGAGTACCATCTCGATATTGTTTATGACAGGAAAAATGCAACTGTTAAAATCAATAGAATAGAAGACCTTGGAGAAACGTTTATATTTCTACAAAATATAACAACTTGGCATGGTATAGATTTCTGAGGATGTTAAATCAGCCTGCAGAATATCCAGTACACCCGGACTTTTATGAAGTCGAAAACCCTAATGGAACATATGAAAATGTTTTCGACTCAGATGCTATTATCGTTCATGCTTCATTTTCTGGTGCACAAAAACTCTTTTTATGCTTGGCAAATGACTTTTACGAAAAACTACAAAGCTATATGAACCCAAGTGGAAGTATTTCAGACTTTCAAGTATGTGTTTACAACAGATGGAAGAAAGAGAATAATTCATTATACATGCGTTTTACTTAGAACTTAGTTTCATATACAACCTACTATCGAACGGTAAAAATATAATTTTTTTAATACGGTTGAGGTGTTGGATTGGTTGCCAACTAGACTGTGGTGCAGGTTCAGGCTGTTGTATAACAGGAGCTTGTTCTTCTGGTTCAGGGTCTTTAGGTATAAACCAACGAACCTACCTTTTACAATATTTTTGACTCCGTTCAAATTCCTCTTCTACGGTTTTTATTCCATTCCATATACCTCTTCCAACATTTCGAAAGAAGTTTCCTATTCTCCAAGAAACCCATTTTACTATATGTAAAATCTAATGTCCACCTAGTCTCTTACGTTTCCTGTTGAGTTCATAGCATTCTTAACTGGAGCTCATACATTCTGTTTTCCTCTGGTAGAAAAATATTCTGGGTAACTCCTGTGTTCGCGTCATCTGCATAAAGTTGTTTATATCCACTTCAGGGTTTGTATAAAACTCTTTCCATCTCATATTTGCATATACCATGGTGGCAAACCTAACGCAGCGTCATTTGACATGGCAGTTTGCATTTGTACATCTGTTGGCACTTGACCATAGTTTGCCATTGCAGTTTGTATTCTAACTTCATTTGGAATATTCTCTGGGTTTGGTTGTCCAGGTTGCTGTGCATTTGCTAAGTTCTGTGCGTCCATTTAATATTAGATAAAAATATCTTTACGAGTACATATGCTGAACATTTGCAGGCATTGGTTCATCTTCATATTCTCTATATCTTTCTGCCACGTCAAAGAAATAAATGACACAATGGAAAAAAAACCACAAGTAGTCCTATTTCAAACCACATTTACTTACTAGTAAAATTTCTTTGTTATGACACTTTCTCCGGTTTATAGGACCTCTCTATATTCTATCTTGTCATATCTAAACTCATAGTCATGTATGTCCTCTAACCATCTCATAACGGTTTCCAAACCACTTTTATCGGATGTAAAGTAAAAGCATGGACAGTTATGTAAACGTCTAAGTTTCTAAAGAGTCTCTCAAAGTCCAGTCTACTTGGTATTGAAAATCCCATGTGTTATAGAACGGCGGGTCCACTATAAAGAAATATATTTTCCTTGTCTTTATATTTTTCATACAACTCTGTCCAATGACATCTCACAAACTCTATACCCTCAATATTTTTTCTATGTCCTCTTTGAAAACATTTGTATAGTTAAGATATAAAACGTTTGACATAAGTGTTTCAATGTCATGAACTCTTATAGAACCACTATATAATAGTCTAGCAGATATACTATCCCAGTCTATATATTCTGCTTTTTTCAAAACCTCTCTCACAATATTTTTCTTATCTAATGGTATACGTTCCATCTTACCTATAGGTATCTTTTCTTTTAACGCTTTCAATATATTGTTTGTGTCTGGTATATGTTTGAGACGGTCCATATAGTTGTCGAAGTCATTGCATATAATCTTTGAGTCTGGGAATATTGTATGGCACAAATGAGATATATAGAAACTTCCACCGAACAAATCTACAAATGTTAGACCATTCGGTAGTTTCTTAAGTTCTCTCAATAGAATATCTTTACATCTACTCTTATTTCCAAAGAAGGGTAACGGTGGTTTTGTAAAATTCATTTATATATAATAATAAAAATGTTTTTTCCTGAAAAGTGACAGAAAAGGCTTCTCAAAGTATACTTCCTTGGAACGCCTGTAACTTTTCCTGTAGCGACGATAGACCCTTACTTGTCCGGACAAAGTTATACTAAACATCTTCAGGGCTAGAGGGCGCAACGCGCCTGGAAGCCCCACTACCTTTTTTTTTTTTTTTTTAAAAATTTATTTAAATCAACTTTTAAAAAAATTCGAATCCTGCGCGTCTCACTTTTTAAATTTTCCAAATGGAAAATTATATTCTCCTAAAGTGAAAACAATTTTCCAAATTGACTTCCTTACTATCCAACTTCTTCTGGATAGAAGAGAAATTTGCAGAAGTTTCACTCAATTTCTTGGAGTAGGGGTAATTTTAGCTAAAAGTGACACGCCTGTAAAAAGTGACACACCCATGAAGGGTGTGATTACCGATCGGTAATTTCGACAGTTTAGAATTTAAAATTTTTTATGGAACTGTTGCGAGTTTCATAAAGAATTTAAGGAATATAAGCAAAGATTTGAATCAAAATCTTAGACCTAAGCCGCTCGATTCGCTCGCGGCTTCCGCGAATTACAGATCAGCAAAGATTTGAATCAAAATCTTCGAACTAAGCCGATCGCTTCGCTCGCGGCTTTCTTTATTATTTTAAATTTGCATATTTCCATCAAAAGTTCATAAGGTAAAAAATTTCGTTTATTTTTACTAAGAAAAAAAAGGTTTTTGATAATAAATTTATTTTATTTCGAAAAAGTAGCAATAATCGTAAAAGGGTATTGATAGGCTTGCTAAAGTAACTAATTTTAGCTGTCAAATACTTTTGTATTTTGAAGTAAATTAGTATAAATTTGTTTTTACTTTTATTTCGAAAAAGTAGCAATAATCGTAAAAGGGTATTGATAGGCTTGCTAAAGTAACTAATTTTAGCTGTCAAATACTTTTGTATTTTGAAGTAAATTAGTATAAATTTGTTTTTACTTTTATTTCGAAAAAGTAACAATAATCGTAAAATGGTATTGATAGGCTTGCTAAAGTAACTAATTTTAGCTGTCAAATACTTTTGTATTTTGAAGTAAATTAGTATAAATTTGATATTATTTTAACTCCCTTTGAAAACCTCAATTTTCCATACAGAGGGAACGGGAATAGCATCCAATATTCCCTGAGAATGGTTGCGCATTCTCAGTTCCCTCTATATTTCGAACGAAGCTCTCATCGGTCTTTTTTTTAATACTAAACGTTTTTTCCCCTGTCACTTTTAGCTAAAATTTGGGTTTGCCAATTTCTTGCAAGTAATAAAAAATGAGGGATCGACATTTTATATTTTGCTTGATGCCTTTTTATTATTTTATATAAAAAAAGTTATTCGAAAAGTCCTACGAAACTCCGTTCTCAAATTTTTAACACTGATAACAAAATTATGTATTTCGGTTGCCACTATCCATTATAATAATATTTAATAAATAGTTCTCAAAGAAATTTTGTTAGAGAGATTGAAAAGTTAAAGAAAATTGTTTGATATAAAATCTTACCAATCTTATTAGAAAGTGAATCAACATTAACTCGAAATAATTCATTTTCTAAACTCTTTATTCAAATATTTCTGATGACTCAAAATTTAACATAGTTCCTTTCACATCAGTATTGATTGCACAGCACTATTTTTAATTTTTATTTTGAATTAACACCCCTGCCTTTCAAAACACATCGCTTAGTAAATATCTCCTCATACATTATTTATTATAATTCGTTCAACTCTGGCCTTAAACATAAATTGAATTGAGATAGTATTTATTCTAAAATGAGCGAGTCAGAAGAACCTTGTCCTTCTACAGTTTATACCCGAATTCCATCTCATGTCTCTAAGTACAAAGTAATCAAAATTATAGGTCGTGGTGGTTTTGCTGTTGTAGTTCTGGCCCAACATACAATAACAAAGGAAACGGTAGCAATTAAAATCATCAACCGCGATATCATCGTAAAGAACAATCTTTTGATGTACCTTGAGAACGAACTCCGCTTATCTACCCGCTTTAATCATCCAAATATTGCAAAAGTATATGATGTCATTTACGAGGAAGATATAATTATGATTATCATGGAATACTTACAAAATGGAGACTTACAGTCGTTACTGTCACGTGGTGTCTACTTCACAATCAAAGAACAGTTAAATATCGCTACCCAAGTACTTAGCGGCCTTGCATATTTACATTCCCGTGGTATATCGCATCGCGATGTCAAACCCGAGAATATTATGTTTGATGCACATTATAATCCAAAATTAATCGACTTCGGATTATCCAAAGAGAACGGCTCCGTTCTAAAGACATACTGCGGAACTCCACATTTCATGGCGCCAGAAATCATTCTTTCTCAGAATTACAACGGAATGAAAGCTGATCTCTGGGCCTACGGCGTTACAGTACACATTATGGCTACTGGAGGCAGGTTCCCATATACATCGCAAAATGATATGCAAATTCTTGAGCAAATCAGAGAAAATAAGTTGGAACTCCAAATTGAACCAAAAGGATTGATCGGGGCCATCATCGAGAAAGCTCTTACGATTCCTATGGAAGAAAGACCAACAAGCGCTGACCTTCTTGCTTTTATTGAAGAAAAACGATGCACAAACAAAGCAATTAGTACATACACCTTCAACCAGAAGGATATTGTTGACACACCACTTCCAAAACTTGCTCCTAGAAACACAACACCGCTCTTCATCAGGGCACAAAATGTTAATGAAAAATCATCTGTTTTATCCAGCTTAATAACGAGAGTTAGGGCACCGCATCGCTTGAGTTATTAACATTATTTTGTTTAATAAATAGTTACCATGCTTTTTTGTTGATACTTCTAACTTTTTTGATAAAATTATAATTCGGTAAAAATTTTTATCGAAACTTTGTTGGTTTTCTAAGCTGAATCGTCAATATATGTCATAGACAGTTCATTGCCATTGATATAACTTGTGTTTGCAATATATTATTTTTTCCGAGCCCTTAATCTTTTAAGAGATTTGAAATTTGATGAAACTAGGAAAATCCTATGCAATAAAATTATCATAAACAACAAAATTTTTATAAAACAACAAAAAACAAAAATCAATAAAGTTTCACCTTATATTTTTCTCTTAACATTGAATTGCATGCGTGTTAAGAACCTATCAGAAGTCAAAATCTTGGCCATCGAACCACTAGATGTATGATGTTTTGTAATAATATGAGGCAATACAGGTGCAGAATTCTTTTTAGAATTTAGCGTCATGTTAGATATACTTATATGGGTTCTCTTCGATTCATTTATAAGTGACAAAAGCTGATCACTCGAAAGGCGTTCTTGCGGATCAACAATAAGTGCATTTCGTATCATTGAGCCCATAATACCCATTGGTTCAATGTTTATTTCTAACTTGCCTTCTTGCATATCTTTAATTAGCTGCATGCCATTATCAGTCACCCATGGTAATTTTCCACACGCTAAAATGTGAGCAGTAACACCAAATGCCCATACATCTGCTTTAGTTCCATCGTATTGATTCTGTGTAACAATCTCTGGTGCAATGAAAAATGGAGTTCCACAAAAAGTATGCATCATTGCAGAATTTTCTTTTGAAAAACCAAAGTCAATGATTTTTGGATTCATTTCATCGTCAAACAATATGTTTTCTGGCTTTATATCACGATGGCATACGCCTCTTTTATGAAGATATTTTAATCCTTCAAGTATTTGTTGGGAAATTCTGAGCTGGTCTTCCACAGAAAAGTGGACTCCACGCGATATAACTGTTTGCAAATCACCTTGAGGATAATATTCCATAATAATCATGATAATGTCAGGTTCATAAATTACATCCAAAACTTTGACAATACTAGGATGATTAAATCTACAAGTAAGACGAAGTTCGTTTTCTAGGTATAGTAAAATATTTCTTTGAACTATTGCTTCTCGGTTAACTATCTTGATTGCAACTTTTTCATTTGTTTTTGGGTCAATTGCAAGAACAACTTGAGCAAAATCACCCTTTCCTATATTCTCAACAACGTTGTATTTTCCTATTACAGGTGGAACTCGAATTTGGATATTCTTCTGGTTAGACTTCATTATATTATTCAATAACGGTTTATTGATTCAAAATTGATATATTTGATTAACAAATTGAAATAGTTAATAAATATCATTAATTTGTAAGATATGTAATTAAATGATATTTTCATTTTTTTTATAAATGGCTTTAGAAGTTATTTCAAATTTATGATAGTAAAAATTTTGTAATTAAATTGCATGATATATATGCAATATATTTTTAAAAGTATAAACTTATCATTTTGAAAAGTTAATTTGAAGAAATTGAATGAAGCTCAAAAATTTGAAGGAACAAAAAGTATAATATAACATTAAATTCCAATGCAATTACATATAAGAATCACTGGCTGAAATTTGTTTTTATTGCTAAAGCTATTTTCGAATTGAATGGAAATAAATAATGAATCATCGATTATTTCCAAATTCTTATGCAATGCATTGTATATCAATTATTAAGATATTTGGTCATTCATGTAAAATTGATATAACAAATGAGAATCGAAGTGATAATATCAATTCTGGAAACATATGAATTGGATTAAATTTTTTAGCATGATTTACAACGTGCTATTTTAATCAAATTTTACAGCTATATTCAAAATAAATCAATCCAAATCGATAATCGTTATATTAATTAGTGAATATATGTTATTTTTTTATTAAAATTATTGATTTTTACATCTTAATATTCAAAGTTCTGAAAAATCATTAACAAATTATTTTTTTATTTTCAATGCTAATTCATTATTGTCATATATATAAAATAATGCTTATTCCTTTTTACTGGTATATAAATTTTGTATTCAATTTGAATGATTCTTTTATAATAACAGTATTTATTTAATTATCATATCTACATTATAATCTAAAATGGGAATTTCTCGCATATGTTCGTACATGAGCAAATACTATACCTTTTGCGAATAAAGAATTTTTTCATAAAAAAATTTTTTTAGGAATTAGCATATCGGCGTTTTGCGACATTGCCAAACGCCAGATTTTAACCCGACATATGAGCATAAGCTCGTATATTGGAATAAATTCGACTTATTCCATATTAAAGTTATTATAATAATAAGGCACTTAATGTGCAAATCTAATTGAATTAGAAAATGCACATTAAGTGCCTTTTATTGGAATATGTAATACCACATATGGAATACCGAAATCCGAGCATCAATTAGGAATGAACTAGTGCAAATTTTAGAAATACAGTATTATGTTAAATTCAGGATAAAAATTGTTAGAAATTTATATTTACAAATGAGTAAATAAGTATTTTGTAAAGTTTTCGTTTGATTTTCAAGCTTGTTGGAGAAAAATAATGAAAATAATTATTTATTTAAGCAATTTACACTAAAACTTTTTATGGAAATTGCAGTTCTAGCAATGTCTTAGAATTTAATTGTCATTTAAAGTGTGAAATGCATTGATTTGCTAGTGAATGTAAATCGGGAATACAAAATTAATATAAATGAACGAAAAATCTTCTAAGAACATCCTAAAATCAATCACCCTTTGAGTGGCTTTCATAATATATCTAGATGATAAACCAGAAATTGAACCCGCATATGGGTCCCATTAGGATAAATTGTAAACTATTCAAAAATAGTTTACAAAATTAATTTAGGTAATAATAAAATTTATAATTGAGATAAATTAAAAAAAATCTTAGGAGAATGTTATGGATTTTCTTCATTGAACCATTCGATAAATGAGCATCTTTGCGAGACATTTGTGTTCGAGAGTCTTGTACCATAAAGGTGGCATCTCAGCAGTTGAGCATCCCTTCAATGCATTGATATCTGTTGATGGAATAGAGTATGCGACTTCATCATTGATCATGATCCAATATGCACTTTTTTGCAAAAAGACCACGTAATGAAAATTACAATAGGCAACAATTGCAATCAATTGATATCTTTGCCTTTCGACTGTTGGGAGTGTCAACTTTTTCGGGAAGTCAAAGATGACTTGATGAATCGAATCATTCTGCCACTCTCTCTGAATGTCGAAAGTCAAGAATTGTGGCCATGATGTGTTCCTTGTAGTTGACAAATAATATTGAATGGCATGATCGAGATCTGGTTCTCCAATTCTGGTGTGAATCGAGTAGCAATTTGTTTGTTCGTTGGCACTATCACGGTAAGTGATTCGGAAGAGTTGACCGATTCCTGGTATTTGCTCTGCGAGATCTGTGATCAATCTTGTCATCGTGTCATCAAAATCTTGTGCCTCATATGTTGAGTTACCAAGTAATGTGGCAAGTTCATTGGGAACGAAGACTAATCCTTTGGACTTCAATGAATTCAAATTTGTAAAGATACTTGACATCTCTGTTACGATGGGAGAGGACTGATTAGCAACCTTCAAAACTTCTGTTCTCACTTCGGATATGTAGAACAGAACCTGTAAACATGTTGTAAACGAAAACGATAAAACGGTTTGACAGAAAAAGTGACACTTTACATGGCAAAAAATAGAGCCTTACTTTTGAGATACTTGAGATTGAAACTGAATCTTATGAGGCAGTGATCTTGAATCACTACCTCATAAGGTTCAGTTTCATATAAAATTTGTTGCAATTTGTTATTCTTTTGCAATTATTTCTTATAAGATTTTACATCTTTTAGCGGGGAATGTTTGTTATCATGTATATATTATAAATATCTACACGAGAACGAACATTCCTCGCTAAATTGCTGAGAAACTTTGAGGAAATGTCGAACAATTTCCTCAAAGTTTCTCAGATTTATATAGATCACTAGAGTCCCCTAGGCACTGATTCTGGTTCAATACCTAGGAGGCTCAAGTTCTCTAACGAACTGATAAAATGTTTTTAAATTTTTGGATATTGCTACCTGTGAAGCACTGACTTCAAGTCAGTACCTCACAGGTAGCAATTACATTGAAAGATGGGAGAAACTTTGTCCGAATGTTAAACTATTCGGACAAAGTTTCTCCCATTTGTAGTGGAGATGGAAGGCTTTGAGGTATATTATATTAATGTATACCCCAAAGCCTTCCATCTCCACTTGAAAGTTCCAAAACTTTGGGTTAATAGTTTGCAATTAACCCAAAGTTTTGGAACTTTCTAGAAGGAATTGCAGGGTAAGAGGTACATATTCATACTATGTACCTCTTACCCTCCAATTCCTTCCTTAACATAAACAAATTTGGAGTTAATTGTTTGCAATTAACTCCGGGTTTGTTGACCTCCAAATGAAAATGAAAGGGTAAGAGGTATATAGTGACCCTATATGCCTCTTACCCTTTCATTCTCATTAATTATGGGAGAAACTTTGGCCGAATGTTAAATTATTCGACCAAAGTTTCTCCCATTTTTTGAAGGGATTGGAGGCTATGAGATACTGATGCAATGTCAGTACCTCATGGCCTCCAATTCCATCCTGAAACTGATCAAAGTGGACCTTACATGCATTTGAAATTTGCCATGTAAAGTCCACTTTTTGAGAGAGAGGATTTGACGCAGTCAAATCCTCTTTTTCGTTTACGAGAAACATACGTTCAAATGACACGTATTTCCCATATTATGAAGACCAACAATACCACCTTTAATTGGGTAAAGGTAGTTCGCCTCTTGTGATGACTGTATGATATCGACAGCTTGATGAGCGACAGCAATGATGTTCCGCTTTGATGGTTTCATGGAGGGTGCAACAACAGCAGCGACGGTATCGCTTGAAGGAAGAACCTTTGTTGGTGTAAAATCTTCGAAAAAGAGTAACTCTTCATTATCATTCAGGGGTGATCCATCAATGTTATAATTTGTCAAACCGACTAAACCTGATATGATCAGAGGAAGTGATGTGCGCTCACCTCGAAAACCATTTTTCATGCAGGACCAGCATGACTTGAAAGTTAGTATACAAGTCATGGGTACGGTGGCACTGCGTTCCACCTTACACAATACTTGTGAATTTGACACTTTACAAAGCCGCCAACCACTTCACTAACGAACTCACTAATGTAAAAAATAAACGTTCTCACTATCGTTCTCACTAACGACTTCACTAATGTTCTCATAAATTTTCCTCAATATCTTCATCATCAGTGTTAACCCTATTGTAGTCATACTTGAAGACATAAACTTTCTCTAACTTCTTAACGTACAATTTACATAACTTACCTTCGTCATCGTATGGTTTAATGATATAACTATTTCTATCTTTATACACAGTCAATGAAAAGTCAACTGGTCTCGGATGTATTTGAAAGAACATGTTATGCTCAGGAAGGAAGAATAAATGTTTAAATGTATGTTTGTTATACTGTGGAATTCGAATGAGTTGCTTTTGTTCTGTCATTTACATCCAAATAAAAATTTTCAGTAAAATAAAAAATAAACTTAAAAATTAATGATATCACCACCCTCACACGTATGAAAACATAGCCCAAAAATAAATTTAGGGTAGATGGTTAGATCTAACCCGATTTCTAACCTCTTTTCTACCCTGTTGAATTCATTGCTTTATAACTCTCTTCCTTTCTCCAACTCTTCTAACTTCTTCTTAAGTTCAGCAATGTTGTCCTCATGAAGTTTAATCTTCCTTAATATACCTTCTCTATCTAATGGTTGCTTTATCTTTCTAAACTGAACTCTACCATCCTTCATAGTATGAATGTAAAAACCTTCTGGAATAGTTCCTGATTTAATGTATTCTACCAAAAACTTTTGTTTCATTGCTTCAGTGACTTTATTTGTCATTTCAATCAAATAAAAATTTTAATATTAAATAAAAATAACGTTATTTTTTCAGTAAGGAAACGCAGGAGTTTTACGATTTATTTGAGGAGTAGGTTCTGGTTTAAATGTTGGAGTCGGTTTAGGAGTTGACTTTTGAACAGGAGTTTGTACTTCCATAGGTTCAGGAGTCATTGAAGGTTTTGCTTGTGAAGGCGTTGGTTTTGGCGAAGGTGTTGGAGTTTGTTTAACTTCAGCTACTTCAGTATTATTTACAACATTTGCTTTATTTCTTTTCAACATCATAACTGCTCCTGCTGTAGCTAGCAAACCTAGTGGGAGACCATATCTTATATAAGGACTTGACCAAATGCTATTTTTGACAGGAGCTGGTGGAACACCTAACCTTGGTGAGACTGCTCTTTGCCATTGTGCAGCTCGTAAGAAATATTCAATAGGTGCTCCATAATCGTTTGGTAAAGTTTGTTTCATAGATGGTGAAGGTTCACGAGAGCTTGATGAAGAACTCATTTATAAGCTTTAAAAATAAACGTTCATCCTTTATTCCTCACTGTCGTCCGCGGCTAAGTTATAGTCATCTAATCTTATTATGGGGATTCCATTAGCACGCACCTGAATGGCAAAGCAACAATCCCTCATAAATCCAATAAGTGGCTTTGGTACATTTTCAGTTGCTAGTTCAATAGGTCCTTTAACAGACAATTTGTATGTTATTGGAGCAGTAGATGTTTGACCTTGCTGGAAGCAAAAGTCCACTTCTGTTGGAAAACCACATAAGAAATGTGTGTTGTCATAGCTATCCCATTTATGTTCCACACTACCATCATCCACCAATGACCTCATAACATCTTCATTAAATCCTATCATATCATTGTTTGTATTGCAGGCGTTCGCAACCATTTCATAAAATACAGGTCCATATGATTTTTCGGGTTCTGCAGGCATATTTCCATAAGCTCCCATGGAAAGCTGAAGATATTTAAACTTAGGGTTCTCAAAATTAACATAATAGTTGTCTTTCTTTCTAAATAGTGCCCAAATACTTTTAACATTAATAGGCGTATAAGCTGCTGTAAATGTTGCACTTGAACTATCTGTATTCTTTGAGAATGAACCGTCCATAGGAATCCAATCCATAACTTTAACAGGAAAACATAAAGCCTCGTTTGTATAATGTTCTACAAGTTCTGTATAAATGTTAGGGTCTAAAGAGAATGACTTTGGATGAATGAAACATTCATTAAAATCCATCTTTGTTCGAAATAGTTGCTGGTTTACAGTTGTAATAGTAACTGTTCCACTAGCTTCTACTGCCTTCGTTATCATAGTGAATGGTTCATTCCATGGAACAAATTTATTTGTCGGTGGATTTGAATCTGAAGCAAATACAACTTTAAGAGTTGGATTGAAAGCAATGATATCATTTACAGATATAGATGTGCATTGTAAGGCGTCGCTACTGAACTTTACTTTAAGATGAATGTTTCCTGCAAAAGCTGGAATAAATCGAATAGCTTCTAATGGAAGGAATCTTCTAACAGGAATTCTTAAACGAAGCTTAAAATCAAATGATTTTCCTGCTGTAATTGGACCACTAACAATTTGTCCTGTTCTGCATGTTCCCGAATGACTCCATACATCTTCATGTCGAGTCTTTGAAAAAACATCTACTTTCTTTATTTGTTCGGTAGTTTGTGAGTTTGAAGTTATATATGCTTCTTCTCTTGCGTTGTCTTGAGAATATACGATACGACCATTTGCAAGGATTTGATATCCAGCAACTGCATAGAAAGCGTCATCGAAACCAATCCAAAATCCTGGTGGGTTTGTTTTATTGGAACCTGAACCAATTTCTTTATCTACAATAAATTGACCTTCCATTTTATACGTAATGAATGTATTGTAAAGGTCCAACATATTTTCACCAGGAGGTGAGAGATTGGATGTTACCCATGTGTTATCTTTAGCAGTTCCAGGTTGTGATGGAATCTTTGCGTCAGAATATTTTCTATTAGTGTCACCAATTTGAACTGCATTGTCTATGATATCGAAATATGAGCGAATCTGATGAATATGCTCTGCTGGAGTAAATTCGTTTAGCTGTTCGTTCTGCATGTATTTACTTCAGATAAAAATATCTATTTACTTCATTATTCTCACTCTTCTTCTTGGCATTCGTGGTGGAAGTTGTTTCTTGACATTTTCAATGAACTGTACATTCTCTTTTGTCTCAACTTCTTTCACTGGTGGGTCAGGGTTCTTTGACTCGGTTTGTTTTTCAATGAAATTCACGAACTTTGCAATAAGCTCTTGGTTCGTTATTGAAAGTACATCTGGCTTTTTTCTTCTGGTTCTATTGACTTTTCAGTTTGAATAGAAGGCTTAACATGGGCTTCGTGGACTTCACCCTTGCCATACACCTTAATGTTGTCGCTTTCTGCATTCGCTAATGGAACCTTTCTTTTTCTTACGTATATTTTACCATCTTTACTCTGACTTACGTAATAGAAAGGATGTTGTATTCCTCTTGCGTCATTTAATATAATAGACTCTCGCTCTGATTTTGACAAGCTCATTTTACATCGGTTAAAGTTTTAATTTTGTTTTTTATCTGCAGTCAAATGACTCAGACAAGCCCTACGGACAAGACCCAAGGGGTCATAGATGTTGAAGCATTGAAGAAAGAAATTCGTGAGCAAATTTTATCCGAACTGAAGGAACAAAAACAAGAACAAAAGCCAGAGAGACCAAAGAGAAAACTTAGTGAAAAACAACTTGCTGCATTAGCTGCTGGAAGACAAAAGAACCCACGTTTGCTGGCGAAGAAAGCTAGAGAAGAAGCAAAAGCAAAGAAAGAGTAAACGGTTTATTTTTATCCGAATTAAATGTATAGACAAATACCTTTATCTGTTGCGTTCAGTAGTGAAAACCCTGACGTCAAAATAAAGGGGAACAGAGTAACGTTTAAGTTTCCAACAGACTGGATTGTGAACATAAATGAAGAGAAGTACATTGGCATAACAAATATGTATATAACACGTGCTTTCAGAAAGGTTGACTTTATACTTCAAGTCGAGATAGAAAATGACGAACAGTCTTTAAGCGCCCAAAACATTCACATATACAAATACTTTAAAGACGATACAACATTGCAACAATGTATGATTTCATTTAATGAGATGTTCGAGAAAAAGTTTAACATTGAAGTACAAACTTTACAGCCTTTACGTGAGTTTCTTGCACAACTGAAAGAAGAAGGTAGTCAGCCACAACTTATAGACTTTCATTATGAATTTAATGAAAATGAAGATGGAACTCATGACTGTCAGTTTGTTGTATTCTCACCATTCAATGAAGTCGCTAAAGAGAAAGAAAATCCATTACGTATAAGATTTCAAATCTCTGAACCAAGTGATGATTTCAAAAATGTTTTCAATTATGATGCAATGCTTCCGAGGAAAAATGAATTTTCAAAGATTGTAACACCTGGCATTTGGGATAGAAAGCAAGCTATATTATATTCAAACTTAAGTAAGGGAGTTGAAAATGAGTTCATTGGTCATACAAGAACTACACCACTGCCAAATCCTAAATACTATAAATTAACTGGCTTCAATCGTGCGTTTTGGATAGACATGTTCTCCACTCATGACCATAACTGCCCAGTGTTCTTACCTCCAGACCATAAGGACTGTCTCTACATTGAAGCACAACTCTTAAACTCTACCATCGCAGTATTGTAAATGACCACATGGGCTTCGCCCTTGCCGCTAGCGGCTTATTTTTATCACGAATGACCTCATTGCTGACAAAAATAAATGACCTCATTATTTTTCTCATTCATGACCTCAGAACTTAAGCTTTCTTATGAATGAAGTCTTAGTCTGAATAGAAAAGTTAAACTTCTCTTCAAAGCAAGGTTGACATGACTTACATAAGTCAAATCCAATCTCTTGACCGTCATAAAGTGCTTTGTAAAGTTTCATTAAACTGAACTCAGAGTCTTTGTCATATGTTCCTTGCGGAACCATTAAACCTTTATCTTCATCATAGAAACACTGAACAGAGTCAGGAAACATTTCATTAGCGGTTAAAGCAATAACATCTTGCTTCACGCCTTTCATTCTGCAGTGAAATGCAACTTCATTTAAATCATTCGTGAGTAAGTCTATGTAAGTCTTCTTTCCACAAAATATTGACTTGTATGCTAAACTTTGTTTTCCAGGTGTGATTTCTGCAAAGTCGCTATGAAATTGACCAAGGTTTTTACCAATGAGAACTCTTCCATAACGTTTCTCAAACTCTTCAGCTAAACGAGGGATATCTTCATTGTAGAGATGCATACTGTCCGTATCGCTATAAAAGATGTCCATTCCTAAGTCCTCAGCAGTACAGAATACTTCACACATTATTCTCTTCGACATAGACAGAATGTTAACACCAAGTGGACAGAAGTTAAAGTGTCTGCAAATGCTTTTCGTTAGCTTGAAAATAGTTTTATCTGAACCATCCAAACCTTCGAACTTCACTATATGGTTGTAGTTTCTGATGGCATATCTTATAGCATCTTTGTCATTTACTATGGTTATTTTTGACTCAATAGGAGATAGAATAGTTTGCCATAAATACTGTTCAGAATGAGCTTTATATTTTCTTGCAAAGGATTTCCTTCTTTCTTATACTTTAACCTTAACTCAAACAACTTCTTTACTTCATCTCTTATTCTAATATCTCTGTTTCCATCGTAATAGTATCCTTGCAACACTTCACATTTGACACCTTGATATTTTATGAGGTCTTGTAATGTTATATAGTCAACATACATTAAACAGCAAGTGTTTGAACTTCTGGGAACGTTAAGTTCTGGATTTAGTTCAGGGTCACAAACTATTAAAGGAAAGTGTCTATGTATTCCAATCTCTGTTATCTTAATGAGAACAAAGAAGCCGGACATAAACTTTTCACCAATGGGTTCCTTTTGGTCGTCATCGAATAAATGTCTCATGAGATACTCTGTGCTTAACATTTCTTTCTTCATAACCTTTGGAATACCTTCTAAAGTATAAAGTCTTGCTATAGCTGATGGATATAATGAAACAGCGTCGAAGTCAGCAATGAGTTTCTTTTCGCTCTTTTGTTTAATGTTATCTGCCAGCATACATCTTCCACCTTGAATACAGCGTGAAATAAATTCTCTTGGTTTATTTGAGAGGTCATATAAATTTCCATTCGGGAAGTACACTCTGTTCTCAAACAATTTGTTAGCAATAGAACAAATACTAACGTAGTCATAAACGTTTAAATCAAATTCTTTCAATATGTCATTGCGGAACTTAACAAAACCTTCTCTTAAAATTCTTACATCTTGTTTGCAATAAAATGTGCTATACTTTTCTAAGTCGAAGTGGTTTTCATCTATTCTGCAACCTTTGATGGAATCTATGTTTTTCATGAATGTATCTGCATCCCGGATAAACTTACATGCTTCAGAAATGACACCAGTTCTGTTGTCATTTGCTAACAAAACACTGCTGTAGTAGTTGTATGGAAATATTTCTTTCGGTCCTGTTTGTAAGTTAAACATAGCAGGAAATAGTTTAAGCTTCTTATTTATAACACTGTAAGAGTCTTTTATAATAATTGCCCTTCCTTTATATAAGCCAGTTATTTGCATTGTTCGTGAACCTTTAATGATGGGAGTTCCTTTCACTTCTGTCATGTGTCTTAAGATGAAGTTTATATCATAACTGAGGTTATGGAAATATATTAACTCTTGTCAGGAAGTCGTTCCAAAAATTCTGTTGCACAGTTCTGCCCCAAATGCTTTCACTCACTGAACCATCTTCACTGTCATAACAGATGTTAAAAGCTTTATGAAAGCCGTCTGTGCTACACTCAAAGTCAGCAAAGAAAACGTGCTCAGGAATGAACTTGCACTTATTTTTATTTACTTCTTTTGACTCGGCTTTCTTCTTCAGTTGTACACAATACTTTGGAGCATATGTCAAATCTTTAAATGGAGCGTTCTGTTTATATAAGTCAGTCGTATATGTGAAAAGTTCTCCATAAGAAATAGGTTCGAAATATTTGCACTCCCACAATGTTTTCATAACATCCCATAACGGTGTTGTTCTATCATAACGAACTACATATTTATCTTCTCTCTTTGTATAAATCTTCATCTGTTTCTCAATGTTCATTCCACCACAAGCTTTGAGAATTTCTATATAGTTGCGAATGAAATATGTTGTCATTGGTAATCTTTCATTTAGCATGTAGTGGTCTTCAACAAGAAGTAAGTCAATAGTTCTAACAGTTTCACATTCTTTTGGTATGTATCTCTTTATTTCATTATGTCTTGAGTCATTGAAATAACCAATGGTAACATTAAATGCTATACCTGTTGCGTCAGAAATTTCTTGTACTTTACTTTGAGGAAAGTCTCTAACACGAATGACTTCTCTCATGTGGTCAATAGTCTCTCCATCTACTCCAGCCTGAATGCAAGCATAAACGAAAGCAGTTATCTTCTGTCATAAGTGTTGCAGTTCTTTTGTTCAGTTCATTGAAGATTTGGTAGCGCTCAAGATTTATAGGTAATGTGCAAAGATACTTCCAGAACTGACCGCTTCTCTTCTTATAAAACTTCTTTTCACCATTATCTTTCCAAAAGCTTTCTATAAGTGCTGGGTTTCCTGTTTGCTTAAGAGCTTCCAAAATGGCTTTCTGGTCATTTGTCAGTGTGCTTTCATCTCTATATGGTCTCTTTTTTGGTTTGCCTTTCTTTACATCTGACATCGTTAAGCCTTCATATTCTGTTAAATCATACATCTTTATTTCGGTAAGATTCTTTATGTTTGTCAAGAAGAAGTCATAGTGCATTTCAACAATACCTGCAGCATTTGCTTCTATCTCTGATATAAAGTTCTCCTTCAAGAGCTGATGTAGTAATGTTCCAATATTATTGAGGTTTAACGTAGAACATTCATACTTTCCACCAAGTTTATAACATACCATCCATCTCTGTTGTGAGTTTATTTTAATTTCTCTAAGAGTCTCATGAAAACCTTACCGAAATGTTTGTGTAAGTAGTCTCTGTTTGGTTCATCTAAAGCTTCGATGTTAAAGTCAATGAGTCTATTGCCTGACTTCACATTTCTCTTCCTATTCTCTTCATCTTTCTTTAACCATCTCTCACCTTCTTTTGGTTTGTCGTCAATGGAACGAATGACATCGTTAGCTTTGCGAACTTGTTCTATAGCGCTCTTAAACATCTCTCTTCTCTGTTGTTTCAGTGTGTCGTCTCTTCTTCTTGTTTCACCAACGTTTGCATTTGTTATGTCAAACATTTCTCTTCTTACTTCATGAGGTACTGAACGTCTATGATATAAGTCAATAGCAACGTCATTTAAAGGAAATGCTCTTGCATGGACTTCGTCCTCGCCGCGTTGCGGCTTTATGAACTCATGAATTCTATCATAACTTATTGCACCATTATAGTCTTTAATGAAGTCAGCGAGTGCTTTTTTGTTTGTTGCGTAATGCTTTGCAACATCTATATTAGCTTCTGTAAGAAGTTGTTTTATTTCGAGTTCTAACTTAGACAACTTCCGATACATTTTTAGTAGGAAATAAAAAAATATTTTTTGAAAAAATTAGATTAGATTTTTAAAGTTATTTTTCAAAATAATTTAATATTTTTATTTTAATGAAAACACATGCAAGATTGCAAGTTCTTTTCATACAATGCTCTCGCTACTGCCATCAAGAATGAGTTCAATAATGCTTCAAATGTTAATGTTATCTTTAACAAGAAGTTTGTGAAAGAATCTAAGTTTGGTCAGTATGTCAGACCATTAGCTATCGTCATGACCGCAAACGTTATACTTCACAAGAGTTAGCAGTAGTTTTGAAACAAAAGAGTTTCTTCGTGAATTCAAAGATACTCATTATACTGTCATAAAGAACTCTAACATTGACTTCTTCAGTATTGCTTTAAATCTTTCCGAACAGAAAGAATATAAGAAGGGTGAAACAAATGTGAAATATTATCCTTCATCTCTGAAAACAATAACGAACAAAGATGTTATACAGAAATTCTTACCAAAGGTTGAAGAAGCTTCTATTGACATTGACGAAGGAAGTGAAATGGTTGAAGAAATAGACCCTGAAGCTATTTAAGCAAAAATATATTTTTGGTTAGTCTTCATATCGATATTTTACAACAATTCCCCAATGTATAAACTTTCATACGCTTTTTCATAAGCTTTATATACCTTCAGAAATTTTGCATAATCTTTTACATGTTGTTCGTTCTCTTCTTCTGTCATGAGTTCGAATATCTAAATTCATGTTCTTTCATATGAGATAAAATTTTATAAAAAAAAATAAAATTAGCTTAGATTTTTTTTATTCTTCCTCTTTGAAGTTATCGAATAATTTTTTCCTTCAGTAATGTTAAGTCTTCTTTGAATGTAAGTATTGTGCAACCTTTGATGTCATAGTGTGTTTGAGGAAGAGTATTTTTGACAATTTCCTTTATTTGCTCATTCGGTGTCATTGAAATCGGTAAGTTTTCACGATAGAACCAGTTTCTGTCAGATTTATATATTTTAGCTAAGTCATAAAAGCTCTTGTTGTTTCTTCTGACTAAATGCAACATAACCATATCTTTATCTTCTTCTTTCTCCAACTCTTCAGTATAAATCATATACCTATAACTCTTTCCTTTTTTGGTACTGAACGCGGTATTCTTTTCTGTATGCTTTTGTCTTTGATTCAATGACTTCATCTTTGCATGAAGTTTCTTTTCCATCTCTCCCCGCTTTTATAGTTCATCTAACATCATGAAAATATAACAAGCATAACGAGGTGAAGCCCACATTGCTACAGCATTTACTAAAAGTCTATGAACATAATAACCTTTCAAACCAGGAGCCAAATTCTTGCGATTTTCGTACGGAATCTCTTCTCTCGGTTTTCCGAGGGAAGCAATCATATGAGGAAATTCTTCTAAAAGTTCTTTTGTCTGTTGGTTTCAAACCAATGATATGCTTGCTTTGTAGAACGAAGAGCATTCATTATACTTTGCATTTGGTACATGTCATCTTTGACTGAACGAATGAGACGTAACTGTTTGTTATATTGTATGTACTCGTATTCTTCATTTATAGCTTCATGGACTATAACTGTTGTTGTGTTCTCTAATGTTGACATTACTGTCTTTACATACAAAATAAAAAAAATAAAAAAATGAATTAGCGTTATTTTTTCTGAGATAAACACTATTTCTTCACAACATTAAATTTTATCCTGTATGAAATGACTTTAAAAAGATTATTGACTGACTTCGAATACTATCTCATTGACGCACTGACAGACCTCAAAACTGTGTTGAAAGTTCTTTAAGCTTTAAGATTGAAGGTACGACGCATTTTGTCTTCACTTACGTATTGAAAGAATATGACCGTTATTATAACGAAGTGAATCAAACACTAATAAAATTTGTAGATAAAAAATTGGTTAACAATGATGAAGAATACAGACAAGTTATTGAAAAAAATAACCCAAGATTAGATGCAATAGAAAAGAAGTTTAATGAATGTCTTACAAACACGTATGAATATCTTATGCGGTGGGAAGCCAGATGGAAATAAATTTACGTCAAATATGCAATTTATAAAATCTTATGTCGACAGGCTACGTAGCACGGTGGTCTAAGGTGGTGTTATGGAGGGGTCGGGGTCTGTGGTTCGAACCGCGACAGCGCCGTATTTTCTTATTTTCTTTGTTTGTCTTGTTTGTCGTGAATAAAAAGTATCATAAAAGTGCTCTATCTTCCACGGGAATAAATAAAAAATTTACTTTATTTCTTCTTCATCTAACTTCTCATGAACTTTTTTGTCTATGGAGTCCATAATATCTTTGACATAAAATGCATACTTTACAGAGCACCATTCAGCAACAAAATGAACGAGGTCAGGATGTATGTAAATACCTTTGAATTCATTTATAACACCCTTAGTAAGCTCATAAAATGCTTGTTTTGAGGTTGAGCCACTTTTGGCTCGACCGTATTCTTTCAACCAAAACTCAAGAATTTCCTGCATTTTAGCACTATTGAGAAATCTGTTTAAATGGTTTAACTTTCCTGCTTCTCTTGCCATCTTTGTTGCATTAATGTAACCATCCTTGTCTCTACGTAAGACTTCAATACCATTATAAGTGCCTTTTGTGAATGTTTCGCCATTAGATTTGTTCGTGAATGTTTTTGCTTCGACTGACATTTCTGTTCTTACATACCAAATAAAAAATAAATAAAAAATAAAACTAACTTTATTTTTCTATCTTAAGGAAATTCATGAATTTTCATGAGGGTGAAAAAAGAGGTGAAAAAACAGGTGAGATCTCACCTCTTCACCTAAAAATTATTTTGTCTGATTTACATCTAATGAAAAAGTTTAGAAGAATTTTCTTATTCTTTCTGGCTTATTTTTGTCTTTCCAGTCCTCCCGCTCTAATGGTCCCAGATGTGTTGACTTTGACTCTCTCAAGTTCTTAGATGGTATAACATCTTCAACGCCTCCTTCATATCTTACTTTATAAGTGTCATCGTTTATGTTGTAGCCAAGTATTTCAATAACCACTCCTCGCTTTGCTTCGTCAATGGTTTCAGCAAGTTTGCCATTACTACTTTCGACTAATTTATGTCGAGGGTAAAACGCAATAGAGTCGTCAGCAGCTTTTATAAGATATCCATTACCTTGCGTAGAGTCTACGATATAATAGTTTCTACTTAACCTTAAACGTTTCTTTGTCAACGGTTTGTCGTCAAGAACTACACGAACTTTTGTACCAGGAATGAGGGTAAATTGTGTTGAATTTCTGATATTTTGTGTTTGGCTTCGTTTCTTTTGTATATACTTTTCTTCTTGTTGTTGTGTCATTGAATTTGGTGTATGCCCTGTTGTAGAATGTGTTGAGGAATTATATACTTCGAGAAAATGTTTCATTGTTTCTTCGGTAAAGTCTCGCTCTTGGTTTAAATCTCTGAGCGTTCTTATGAAGCGGTTTATGATGCCGAGTATGTTATGGTTATGGTCTTCAGTAGTGTAGTGAGTTATGTTATGCTTAATGAGAAAATCTGTGATTTCATTGCTGAGGTATGCACTGTCTTGGTCTGATGTTAAAGTACTTGGGCTATGTTCTGCTACAAACTTTTGTAAAACTCTTAACACTTCACGAGTTCCTTTATTCCTCATTGGATATGCATATGCTTTGCGAGTGTTAACATTAATGAAGATGAGGAATGGTTTATGTCCTCCTTTTCTGCTTTGAATGAGAGTGTCAAATTGGTATGCGTCAGGAGTGTTGGAGTAAATTGGTAAAAAGTAGTCGTAAGGGTTTATTTTTGTTTGATGTACAACATTTTGTCAAAGAACCTTTTCACTTCAGCTCTGTTAGTAAATCCCCAACTCTTTGCAGCTTCATTGAACTTCTTAAATGACCTCCATGGATGTTGTTCGAATACTTCTTTCAAGCTCATTTATGTAAAGTTAAAGACTTTATTCAAGGCTCAAGCGCGTTCATTGAACGCGGTACCATGCGAATATAGTCACAAATGGTGGCATATAATCTGCACCCGAGCCTGTTGGATTTGTTGTGAAAGTGTGTGAATGATTTCCTGTGGTTCCACAGAAAATACCTGCGCTTGAATCTACTGGGTCACTTGAAATATCATATCTATTCATTCCCTGTCTATCCGAACCTGCTGCAAGATTTGTATAACCTCTTTTTGTTATTGAATGTGAATGACTACCTGTTGTGTTTGTAGTTCCTGTATGAGTGTGCGGTGGAAGGTTTGCTTCTTTAATTTTCTTCGAACCTCCTGTTTGCTTTGAATATCTAGCACAGTATAAGAACTTATCTACAATCTGCTTCCACGTACCAAAACCTAAAACTGTTTCTGGATTTGTTGAGTTCATTGACATATAAATAGAACCAACAGGATATAATGTTTGAAGTATTTCAGTCTTTAATGTTTGAAGCTCTGTTTTGTCTGCTTTCTTATCTAACATTGCTGGTAGTTCATATGCTTCAAAGTTTCTGGCATGACCTTCGATATTCCTGCAACTGTTATCTAAATTGTTAAGAGTATCTTTTACGCTTGTACTCGGATTCTCTAAAGGTGCACTTGAACCCAAATCATAGTTCAATATTATGTCGTCTGCTCTAACAGTAGTGAAGGATTTATGTGTATGTTCTTTGTCAGCTTTCTTATCTAACATTGCTGGTAGTTATGTGTTTCAAAGTTTCTGGCATGACCTTCAATGTTCATACATTTACTATTTAAGGAGTTTAGTGTATCTTTTACGCTTGTACTTGGATTCTCTAAAGGTGCACTTGAACCAAGGGTATAGTTCAATATTATGTCGTCTGCTCTAACAGTAGTGAAGGATTCATGTGTATGGTTCTTGTCAGCTTTACTATTTAATGTAGCTTGAAGTTCATTTATATCGGAGATATTGTGTTTATGAGATTTCAAAACTTTGTTCATTGCTTCAAGTTCATCTTTGCTGGCTTTACTTTTAATAGCATCTTCAAAAGTTATTTTTGCCTTAACTCTCAAAGTAAATCTTGGTTCAACTAATACACCGTTAACAAAGAAGTATGAAGCATAAATTTCATTGTTATAACCAAATGCTTCTGGTGCTTTACCTGTGTCATACTGTACAGTACAGTGTATGTCATAACCTTTAGCACGAATGAATTTATATCTTCTTTCATTAACATCTTCAGTGCTTATTTGTTCATCCTGTGTTAAATATCCATGGTAGTCCGTTATAATCTGTTCGTCTGAAGTTATATAATGAACATGGTTTTTATCTGCTTTTTCGGCTAATTTCTCTTCTATCTCATTTATTTCAAGTTCATGCCTACCACCACCTCCCGAAGAAGTATTTTTCTTCAGCTCTTGAAGAACGTCCACTTCGCCATCTTTGGTGTCAATAATGAGACTTTGAGTTAAAACCTTTCCTGTCTTAATGGATGTTTGTAAAACTTCTTCTTCACCGTGTTCGGGGTCATGGTCGTCATCATATCTTGTGAAATCAGAGATGTTGTCATACATTAAGCATATCTGTCTCAAAAGTTCTGCTATTTGAAACTGGAACGAAAGATATACAGAACTTTCATCATCTCCTAAAGTCAAGTCTGCTTTCTTAAGTATTTCTTGAATGTATGCAATGAGAACAGAGTACCTTGGAAAATATTCGAACAATATTTCATTAGCTGTTGGTTTTGGTGGTTCTTCTGGAGTTTCTGTTGTTTCAGTTCCTTCTGTAGGTTCTGTTGGAGTTTCTGCATCTCTTGACTTCAATGCTCTTGCTCTCAAAGACCTAAATGTTAGAGCACCGGGTTTTACAAAGGACTTTATAAATGCTTTAATAGTTCCTGGTAAGTTATTGTTAGCATTAAGTAAGTTCCTTATGCTTCCATCATGTACGTCCATAGCACTATGTAAAAAATCTATACTTTTCTTGTAGTCAGCAATAGACTGACTGTGATTTTTTAAAGATTTGTCAATACCTTTAAGCCAATCTTCATGCATGTCTGATACTGAGCCAAGAATATCATTTGCTTGCTTTAGTGTATTTTGTGCTTCTCGTAAAGTATCCAATCCCATACGTGCATTGTTTGCTATACGTCTTACAGTATCTATTTGACTCCTTGTTTCTTGCATTCAACCAGATAAAGTTTTAATAGTATCCGAACCATTTGAAGTGAAGTTCAAAGCATTTTTAACGTCATTTAAAACTTCTTCACCAAGTACCGCCCATATCTTTCCGATTTGGTATTGAAGAACTCCATATGAAGCAGCTGTTAAACCAGTATTTATAAGGTTCCATATCCATGATTTAGCAGTTTTTCCATCCTTTCCATCTTCACCATCCAAACCGTTTTCGCCTTGAGGTCCTTGTATTCCTTGTATTCCTTGTGGTCCTTGAGGTCCGGTGTCACCCTTCTCTCCTTTCAGTTCATCTTTATATTCGTTATAATATTCTAATGTCATAAGGTGTACATCATTACTGCTACCAGCAACGCCGAGAATTTGTTTCTCATTCATGACTAAATTCTTTAGGCATTTAATGTTGTCGTCAAATCGAAAGCTCTTTAACAATTCAATGAGAACATTTAATACTTTCACTAATGAGGCATCTACTGTAGAATTTATATATTGCACCGTTCCATCATTTATGATGGGAACTTTACTTATTGTAATGAATGGGTCATACGTGTTAAAAGTATCGAAATCAATGACTTTTTTAGTTTTTCCATCGTCAATGACTAAATCATTGCCTTCAATGGTTAAAGTTGAGTTTTCGTTTACTAGTTCATGTGCTCTTCTTGCTTCATTTGTTTCATACGCATATGCAGCAATAGTCATATTTTAATGAGAATAAAATGTTGTTCTATTTGCAAAGTACAGACCCAAACGAATACGGGACAGTAAAGCTACAAACAAACTTAGGTCTTCAGAATGAAGCGCTTGCTTTCAGAGTTGTTGACTTCAATACTATCGCAACTTTTGTCATAACAGATGAAACAGATTTCATGGAGATTGAAATAGATGGAAAGAAGCACGAAATAAGATTTCACAATAATGTAGAATATAAGATGGAAACATTAGCTGGAGTGTTAAATGCTCTCATAAATACTACAATAAACAAGGATAACGAAGAAAACTTAATGAATGTTAAACTTATTGCAGGAGTTTTGAAGTTCAGTTATGCGAAGGAGTTTAAGATAACACGAATGAGTCATAGAGTACAACTTCTTTTGGGTGCATACCATATGACATTTCCTTTGAAAAGTGTTGACAAAACGATTGAGATGAAATCTGTTCCATACGTATGTTATGGTAATTGTTTATACATTGAGTCTAAAATAGCTAATGTCACAGGCATTTCAGGAGTTAATAGTAAAGGTTCAGTAGAATATAAATCCTTCTGTTATGCAGTCAATTCAATGTTCATTCCAAACGTTCCTGTCATAGCAACTCATTTAGGTAAATGGGTTCGCATTAGTCCTCATAATTTGAAAGACATGCAATTCAGACTTGTTGACTTTCAAGGAGAGCCTGTAGAACTGAAGGCACCAGTGCGAATGACTGTTGAAGTTGACTTTTTAGAAAATATTAAATGCAACAGCTTACAAGAGAACTCAGAGCTAAAAATATAAAGTATGAATGTTATGTATTAGGTCATGAACTTTGGTTGTTGCTGTTTGATGAAACAAATGAGTTAGTTATGTCAGTCAAGAGAACAGAAAAATATTGTGTTAGTGAAAACTGCACCAAGTCAATAAGATTAGGTTTGCATTATGAAGATGAGTTCAATAGTGTTGAAGAAGTTTTGGATAGATATTACAAATTGCTAACTTGAAATTTTTTTGACTGACGGCGCAAAGAGCCAAGACCGAAGGTCCTGACTGCTTTAATTTACTAAAACATATTTCAAACAAAGTTTATATTCTGTTGAAAGTTTTGTATATTCATTCGAATATTTATACTTAAACTCAACTCCTGTAGTTCCTGGTGTTTCAATGATGCGGATGTTACCTATTTTCATGAATAGTGGCGTTTGACCACAGCATTCGATTTCAGGGTCGAGATAGTCAATGACACATTGTCTCCCTGTTATTCGTGAGATAACATTTTCAAGGTCCTCCTTTGTTAGAATTATTTGGTTCTTGCTTATAAGATTTGTCCAAAGCTTCTTATCGTCTTTGAGTAAAATTGTTTGGTATAACTGAAGAAGGTAATGGTCTACGTTATCTGAAGGATTTGTTTGAACATTTGTGTAAGGGTTGTCGTTGGCTTCTCTTGAAAGAATTTGGTCCAGTGGTGGATACTCTAACTTAACATGATGTAGCGTTAGCGTTTGAAGCTGAGTTTAAATTCACCGACTTAAGTTCTGGTTCTTTTTCTTTCAAACACTCTGAACTATAGTTCTTTATGACAATATTGTTTGTCGTTCGTGAGTCAACATTTGATGTTGGTTCAATTGGAACATTAACGGCACCAGCTAAGATGGATTTGCTTCTCATTTCATATAGAATAAAAACCTTTTATATGTATGAAATGAACAATATACTCGACAAGAGTTTGAATGTAAAGCTAACGAATGAAAATATTGTTGAATTCACTGAGACAGGTGCTGTGTATAAAGATGTAGAACTACTGAACAAAAGAGCTAAGGGAAGAAGCAGGAACATGAACAAAGGGTGGAAGCCTATAAAAATTTATGTCAATGATGGCTCAGGAGGTTCAAACATAAAGTATGCAGAAAGTTATAGAGTTTATGCTCTCAAAGGTGAAAAGCCTTCATTTAAGAACAGCTATTCTAACGCATATCCTCAAAAGCTAACGGATGGGGAAGTGGATGATATGAATGACAGCAAAAATATTAACAGAAATGGCGACAGAGATGCATGGAATTTGTTTACCATCAGTCAATTGAAGGTTAAACTTTAAAACAATGTTGGTCGTTCCCATGGAATATTTTTGACTTTAATGGTATTAGTCATGATATGAATCTCAAGGTCTGAACGAGGAGAGATGAGAGACTTATATGCTTCCCATATTTCTTCAAAAGGTAATGTTATACCTGACTGTTTCCAAATGAGTTCAATATCATAGCGTGAGAAACCTTGAAATATAACGAAGTCAGTTATGAGACGTTTTATGTTTAAAGCTAAAAACCTCCATGTTTGCATAAGTATTGCTACAGTTAAATGGTAATGTCTGACTTTAGTAATGATGTTAGCTAATGGTGAGTCAGGCTTTGAAACTAAACCTTTACCAGCGAAGTCGTCACAAACTAATAAAGTGTTTGATGGATATTTTTTGAAGGGGTATTTTGAAAGTTTTGACAGAATGTAGTTTGTAAGTCGTTTCATATCGTAAACTCCTGAGTATTGACGTAAGTGGTGTTTGTCAATAATTCTTTCCATCTCCTCAGAAGTCTTTTGCATTCCTGACTGTATAAATTCAACGATGGCATAATATTTCCTCTTATGTCGAATGTAACGTTGAAGAAATTCAATGAGTTCACTGTCTGGAACTTTAACGACAGAGGCTTGAACTTTTGACATAAATGTTTTAGCTGTTGAGTCCATAGAGTCTGAAGTTGCTGATATAATGATTTGGTCATAATATGAGTCATTTCCTAAACGTTCTGTTATGAGTATATGACGAATGAGGTTAAATGTCTTACCTGAACCCATCTTTCCACAATAGAAATACACACCATTTGAACAGAACTCATAATCTTTGCTGAAAGGAAGAATGAGAGAAGAGTTAAGTTTGTCTGTAGTTTCATTCATGTCTTCATCTACGTCATGTATTAAATGCTTCATTTTATCTCCATTAAAAATGCAAGTCAGAAATATTCAGAACATAGCACCGAGTCTAACTGACAAGAGTATAAAGATATACTATGAACACGTTATGATGAAACCTACCAAAATTCAAGAAAGTCAGTTATACTTATGAATATCCAAGACACTGGGTAGAGTATGTAGGAGGTGAGAAAGCTATTGAAATCAGACAGGTTCGAAGTATTCCAGCAGGAAGAACAATATTATTGAAGAACTTTAATGTTTTGAGGTATAATGATGAAACAAAGAAGCAAGATAGTTTTCCTGTTGCTGTGTATGTGAACTTAGATACAGGAGATGACATGAAAGTTTTTTAATACAAAGCTTCAAACGGTAGTGAGAGAACAACTGACTGCGGAAGGACATCCATTACCTTCAGAAGTTACCATAGCATATAATTTTGAAACAAACTCAATAGATTTTAAAGTCGTCTCTGCAAAGAAGTCAGGTTTTACATTTAATGAAGCAGATGTATATTCGAATGAAAACTTCAAAGCTATTGCATGGTTAGATAATGACGATTGCTTTAAGAAAATATTTAAATACAACTCAACGATGTCAATAGATGACCTTCGTGGAATGTTACCATCGACATTTACAGTAGAAGGTTCAGCAGGATTGCTTACAAGATTGTCAATTGGTGGTATTTGGTCTCGTGAGAACATTGTTATAAAATCCTAGTAAGTGAATTTGCTGAAGAATCTATATTATGTCTTTCAAACTACATGTATTCGCCGCCGAAGCATTATAGTATAACAAACTTTGTCAGTAAGTTTAACATAAGACTTGTCGAACCTTCTTCAATGAAAGATATTGTGCTACCCAAAGACGGAAAGGATGGACTCATTATTGAAATGATTTTAATAGCATATTAAATGAGTTTGTTTTTTTTCATTCATGATGAAATAACTGTTGTAGAAGATGTTAGCAATTGTTCAGACATTTTGAAGCGTATAGATGATATAAGAAATAAGTTAGATAGACCGCAAAGCGGTGAGGGCGAAGCCCGTGAGAATTTTATGGTTCATTGACTTTCTCCAGTAACGAGAACTTTTATGAGATAATATTGAAGAGAGATGATTTTAATATGGTGTAAATGGTAGCTTGGGCAGCTTTAGGCGCAATGGGAACAAAAGCATTAGCATTTGGAGCAAAAGCACTTGGAGCTTATGACGCAGTAAATAAAATGAGTGGAGGAAGGGTTTCGAAGACATTAGATGCAAATAAAGGGAAGATTGGAGGCTGGGTTGCAAAGAAGTTAAGATTAAATAAAATAGGGCTCATAAATAAAGCATCCAATTTGGTTGCGACTGAGTCAGAAAATGCTTTAGGAAAGGACGATGAGTTTGCAAAACACGCAAAAGACTTTAATGACCAGATGAAAGGTGAAACAATGCATTTAAATAGATTCGATGGAACTAAAGAAAATGTTTCTTCTCCACCAGTAGTTCTTCCGTATGGTCCCTATGGAATGTATGGAAACCCTTACGAAAGACCATTTGACCCATTGACTGGTGGAAGTAACTGGTATCATTACGGACGAAGAAGAAAGACAGTCAAGTTGGAGACAGACGTGAAGAAAGCAACTAAAAAGAAACCAAGGAAGAGAGTTATAAAGCAATGAATTCAACAACAGGGTAGAAAAGAGGTTAGAAATCGGGTTAGATCTAACCTTCTACCCTAAATTTATTTTTGTGCTATGTTTTCATACGTGTGGGAGTGGTGATATCATTAATTTTTAAGTTTATTTTTATTTTACTGAAAATTTTTATTTGGATGTAAATGACAGAACAAAAGCAACTCATTCGAATTCCACAGTATAACAAACATACATTTAAACATTTATTCTTCCTTCCTGAGCATAACATGTTCTTTCAAATACATCCGAGACCAGTTGACTTTTCATTGACTGTTTATAAAGATAGAAATAGTTATATCATTAAACCATACGATGACGAAGGTAAGTTTATGTAAATTGTACGTTAAGAAGTTAGAGAAAGTTTATGGCTTCAAGTATGACTACAATAGGGTTAACACTGATGATGAAGATATTGAGGAAAATTTATGAGAACATTAGTGAAGTCGTTAGTGAGAACGATAGTGAGAACGTTTATTTTTTACATTAGTGAGTTCGTTAGTGAAGTGGTTGGCGGCTTTGTAAAGTGTCAAATTCACAAGTATTGTGTAAGGTGGAACGCAGTGCCACCGTACCCATGACTTGTATACTAACTTTGAAACGTGCAAAGAAACACTCGACAATCTGCCTGTCTTGGGCAATGGCGTTGTTGCGTTCAACGTCTGTTTCTTCGTGGCTTCTCTTCATCACCACGGCAGTAAGGTGATATTTCTGGATTCCAATATAGCCCCGGTCGGCAAGTACAGGATATTGGTAATCATCAAATCCTCGCTTTACTGTCAAAAAATCCGAGACTTTTGACAAATCGAAAATCTTCTTGTCATGGACTGCAGCCATAAACTCAACGTTTTGATGTATGGCTTTTCCATCTGGTGACACGAGGACTTGGAGCTTAATACCGTTGAAGTGGTTTTTTTTCATCCCAACTATAAAGCCTCTCTTCCTTTACCGAAGGAATGTTGAAAGGAATTGTAGTGCTGTCTACAGCTGCAACAGCATCAGGGAAGTTTGTAAATTTGTTCTTCATTGAAGTTAACGGTGGACAGTGATTGGGAAGAAAATAGCTCGCAAAGATTGGAAATGCAACATTGGTAGTTCTTGTAACTAATTTGGAATAGCATGACTGGGAAATATGTAGCAACGGACATAATGCTGAATAGGGCAAGTATGTGCAGTAATATGTGAGCGTGAGGAAGAGAGACTCGATTGTTGAAAATTTGACCTTCCTTCCTCTTCTGGCCCTTCCACAGTTGGATTCAATAATGTCAGCGAGGTATTCCAACTGTTCATATGTGAAGTTGCACAATGATTGGAGCTGGAGCTTTGGATGCATCCTGATGAATATTGAAATCGAGAACCTGGGCATCGGATTGGTCAATGTCATCTCTTTTGCCTCTTCTTCATTTAATGGCTCTTCATCTGTGTCGGAATTCTCAGGTGTAACAGTAACAACAATATTCACCCTTCTGGATTCTTTTATCTTGGTGATGATATCTTCATCGCATGGTTCATCGAGGGGGGCACAAACTTGCCCAGTGAGGTGAAGTGAAAAGTGACAGGTTTACATGTCAGAAATGTAAAGTGTTAGATTTGAAACAAAAAATGGATTAATTTATTATTATATGATAGAGAGATTTGGTAAGTTACTATCAAATTTGTAAGTAAGGGAAAAAAGTAAGAAAGAAAAAAAATTTTAAAAATAAAAAGCCACTCGCTTCGGTTGCGGTTGACAAAAAGAACAAATTCGAAAAATAATTGTATGAAATTACGAAACTAAGCCCCTCGCTTCGCTCGCAGCTTTAGAAAAGAACAAATTCGAAAAAAGATTGTATGAAATTACGAAACTAAGCCCCTCGCTTCGCTCGCGGCTTAAGTAAACAACATATTTCAGATTATCGATACTAAAAATTTTTTTATTTTATTACTTTTTTTTGCATTTTTTTAAAGCTTCTTAACTTAAATCATGGAATGTCTCAAAGACAAAAGTAGCATACAGCATGTAAAGCTAAAGAAAGATAATCATAATTAATACCTTAATTTTTAATATTACGCATTTTTAGGTGCAAAATTTAAAAACATTCTAATACAATAGAGCAGTTTCCAAAAGTAGCATACAGCATGCAAAGCTAAAGAAAGATAATCATAATTAATGCCTTTAAAGTTTAAAATCTTGATTTTTTTTAAAATCAAATATTTATAACTTTAATACATACAGCTTAAACCTTATACTTGTTTTCTCTTGTGAGAAAGCAATCTTACAAAGCTAACAATCCTAAAAAATAAAGAATTAAAATTTAATAATTTAATCTAACAAAATTTCTCTCTTTATCCTTTTGCACTCTTTATATGCAACTCAAATCCATCATATAATATTCCTTTAATCCTCTTGCCTCAAACAATGACGAACAAACTGCTATTCTCATTTAATTACAGACCAAATCTATTCAAATTTCTGAATTTTTAATTTTCATTTCAATTTCAAATGGAATTAGAAGAAGAAACTATCTTTACTGTTATGGATCTTTGTAAATTTGGAGTTAAACAAGAAATACAAGCACAGTATGGATATGGTGAACGTGTCAGGAAAGAAAGATCTCAGATTTCATTCCACTGCAAATATCCAAAATGTCCTGCACATTTTAATGTTGCAATCTTGGATCAAAATAAATACAAACTAATCAAAATAGTTGAAGAACATGATCATTCCGCCCCAAATGACAAAAGTCAATATTCGTCTGTCTTTTATCGCAAATATTTAGAACATTACTTCCAAACAGATGACAATCAAAGAGCGATAGCACAGCTAAATGCATTCAAAGATCTTGAAATTCCTCTTACAGGTCCGTCCATTCCAGAGGAGAAAAAAACATAGCACACATTTGCACACATTTTGACACTTTTTCTGACAAGCATCATTCAAATTTGAAGAAAAACCTCTAAATTTCATTCAAATTTCTGTCAAAATGTGTGCAAAATTGAAATAGGCACACATTTTGACATACGATTATTTATATACGTTATTTTAATGGTTTCAGAGAAATCTTCGTTACACATTATTGAAGATTACTCAATATTTAAGTGAATGACTCACTACCACCTGTTTAGAAAAATGGTAGCATAAAATCCAAATGTCACATATATTATTTCTTATTTCATACAAATAAACTTACAATTATAACCTCAACTTGTTTGCAAAGCAGAAACTCAATATAAGCAATCGATCAGTAGTGTATTTAAAAGTCGAATTTAAATTTAAAAATTTATAATCTTATTTCGGAACCAAATAGTATAAATTTAGGACAAAAAGCTACGTGGTGTTGATAACAACTATTAAAATTCAAATATTACTACCATGAACAATACAATGGCTCATATTGATAATTGATAAACGTGCATATAAATTGCATATATCATCAATGTCATTAAGTAAAATACATGTATATAAATAGATTAGAAATATTTTTCGGTTAGAATTAAAATCTATGTAATAAAAAATAAGTTATAAAAATAAATACCGAATTTTTATTTGTAATATAAACTGCTACAATATGCTAGTGTATACAAATGTATTTGTCGTATTGATTTGAAAGATCTTCAACATGGTTCAGATCTAAATTTGAAACTCGTAAAATAAAGCGAATCTTTATTTGTAATATAAACTGCTACAATATGCTAGTGTATACAAATGTATTTGTCGTATTGATTTGAAAGATCTTCAACATGGTTCAGATCTAAATTTGAAACTCGTAAAATAAAGCGAATCTTTATTTGTAATATAAACTGCTACAATATGCTAGTGTATACAAATGTATTTGTCGTATTGATTTGAAAGATCTTCAACATGGTTCAGATCTAAATTTGAAACTCGTAAAATAAAGCGAATCTTTATTTGTAATATAAACTGCTACAATATGCTAGTGTGTACAAATGTGTTTGTACAAATGTATAACTCTTTGTCAATTGTTATGGCACCTTATAACTTAAAAATCATTTTCATTAACAAATATAAAAAGTGACAATTAATATTTTCATTAAATGCATATTTAATTATCAAAACAATGTCGATTTAGCTTGAATGTTCATTATAAATGTGTAAGTTTAGGAAAACAAAAAATAATTAATTCTCGCAAAGAAACTTATTTTAAAAGAACCTAAACAAAAGTTCATATAATAATAAATCTAAAAATAGATATTAATTTAAACGAAGATAATGAGAGAATGGGGATGTTGTAAAACAATGAGACTTAATGATCAAATAATTAAAATAATAAAATTAATTAAAGGAAAGCTAAAATAGTTTAATGAATTTTTATAGATTGGTTACACAATCAATGTTTCTGTGTCAATGTACATCAATCAACATTGTTTCATTGAATTTTGTCTTCATATATACTTATATATTACTGTTCCTCCCTTATTATTAATTTTCAAATTCTTATATAATAATTTTTTATTCTAAATGATTTGTCATAAATTAATTAATCTCATTTCCAAAAATATCATCTTCTGTAATTTCGAATTCATTGATATTTATATCATCGGATTCTTCTAATTTAATTGTAACAGAATTTGAAAACTGCTCATCATTTTTATTCAGATATTTTTCAATTTCTATATCTCGATAATCGGCCTCTCCAAATCGAAATGATTTTTTATGTTTTTTGATTATTTCACTTGGTATTTCTGCACGTTCTAATCCAAAATTAGATGTGAATACATCTAACTCTTGTTGAATTCTTGTCAATGGTATAAAATACGATTTTTTATGATCAAAATTGTCATTTTGCTGCCTTGCATATCGATGAAAATATACCTTATCAACTTTCAATAGGATGTAAATCATATGATAAATAGTTGGATGTGGGAATGCAATATGAGAGTTTAACACTTTGTTAAATGACTCAACTCCATTATTGGAAAAGATCATATCAGATACTTTCAGCTTGTTAATTACATCATACTTTTTACCCCATGTATTTAAGAAATATTTTGCAAAATCATTTATTTCTTTAATCGCATCTAATTTTTTGCAAATTATTTCAAAAACTTCTATTGGAACAAAAGGACATGCACATAATAGTTTTAAAAGTGATTTTGCGCAAACATCGTTTTCATCACATAACTTTTTGAAATTTTTAACAAGAGCTGCTATATAATGAAATATACAACCAGTGACTGTAGTTTCATCATTGACTTTAGATTTGATTGATTTCATTAATGCATTCTCAAAATCTGATGTAATGATTTTATATTTTCCCAATGATATACTAATAAGAGGACATGTGATCATTAAATTAAAAACTGTATCATAGTTAAGTGATGATCTTCCTGTCATTAGTACATGAAGGAAAGGTAAATATAAATTTGTAGCTTCATCGTATACTAAAAGATTTAAGAGCTGCCCATTTGCTAACTTAATTGGAACGATACGAAATGTTCCATCTATGAAAAGATGGTTGCAAGTTTTAGCTCTTTTTATAAAAGCTGGCAACCCGAAGAAATAATAGTTAGTATCATCTGAACTTGAGTAATATTGGGTTATATAATAATCTGTGCTGTTATACTTTTCTAATAACTTCTTAATTAATTCATTTTCGCTTAGTTTGATTTTAGGCCTGATCTCGTAGTATAGCTTTGCTATTGTTTGAGGTGAAATATCAATAGTATCATCATGTGAAGAATTGTATTCAAATATGAGTTGATTTGAATATTGTCGAGCTTCAGCTAGTGATAACAATGGATTATTTTGAATATAAGTTGATATCATTGATTCGAATTCATACCTGATTTGATGTGTTCCATTGATTTCAATCGAATATTTCGATTTGGAGCAGTTGTGTGGAGGATTTATTTCGTGGATTGACGCTTTTATATTCGAACCAGCTGGAAATAATGATATAATTTGTGAATAACCACATTTTTTTCGTTTGGCACAATAATAGTGTAACTCTAAATGATCATTCTTGCAATAATAACGTTCAAATCGTAATGGAATACCTTGAGGATATATCGTTTTCCTATAGGCAAGTTTGTCAGAGTCAGATATACTAAATGTATGATAAGTACGTAAAATATCACTAATTTTTATTCTCTGGGCTTCTTTATCATCTTTGTTCAATATATTGTAGTTTGCAACACATTGTTCGCAAATGGTTTTGGAAAGATTATATTGACTCCTTTTGTCGGAAATACTTTGATATACTTTCGCATTATCAATAATAATTTGAGGGTTAATAAAGTTATCAAAAGATAAATTATCAGTTATATGTGGTTGTTAGGAACTGAGTTAAGAATTGTTGTTGTCTCTAGTCTGAGCTGGAAAGATTGTTGTTG